CAAACTTTGACAGAATCCATCGTAGAATAGAGCGACAATTCCAGAAACAAAAACAACAACATCTATTGGATTTATACAATGAACCAAATTCTAGGAACTTTTGGGATAAAATTGGAAAAATTGGCATCGCCTCAGACCGAAAACAGGAAGTTCCTTGGGAAATTTTAAAACCAGACAAAACTGTATCAGCAGACAAACAAGAAGTCTTAAATTATTGGGCCAACTCGTACAATGAATTATATTCAGAAAAAGAGGACAATGTCAACTTTGATTACAATCACTTGAAACAAGTCAAGGAAGAACTCTCCCATATTGAAAATGATAATGTTGACCCACTAAGTGCACCACTTAATGAGGACATAACCCTACAGGAAGTCATTAATGCAGTTCATCGAGCCAAAATTCGCAAAGCCGTAGGCCAGTAGGCATTGACTCAATCCCAGCAGAAGTATTGAAAAACCCAACTTGTATGAATATGTTGTATAGAATTATCATAGAATACTTTGATAGTGGAATTGTCCCCCAAAAGTGGATGCAGACCATAATTAATCCAATTTTCAAGGATGGCGACAACCGTGACCCACTTAACTACTGAGCAATCAGCCTTATCTCAGTGCCATGTAAAATATACTGTGATATTCTTAACAAGCGCCTTACAAAGTTCCTTGAGAGCAACAACTTATTGGTTGATGAACAAAATGGATTTCGTGAAAAGCGCAGCTGTTTAGATCATGCCCACAGTCTCCATTCAATAGTTAATAATCGTAAGTTGGCTAAACTTGAGACATTTGTTTGTTATATCGACGCAACGAAACCTTTTAGTGGTCTGATCCGTGATTGTATGTGGCTAAAATTAAACCGCATTGGAGTCAAGGGCAAAATATTCAATGCAATTAAGTCATTATATCAGGATGTATCTGGAGCCATTCGTGTCAATGGATATTTAACACCCTGGTTTACCATCAGCAAGGGTTCGAAGGAAGGCTGTCTGTTATCTCCGACAATATTTGCGATCTATGTGAATGACCTAGCCGCATAAGTAAAACAATTGAACTGTGGGATCAATATAGACAACACTAATGTCTCAATACTTTTATATGCTGACGATATAGCCCTCATAGCCAGCTCTGCAGAAGACCTTCAGAGAATGATTCACTGTAAATACATGGTGCAGGAAGTGGAGAATGAAAATCAACCAGAGAAAGTCCAAAATTGTACATTATCGCCCACCTTCGAAACCCCGTAGTAATCATCAATTCAACTGTGGCAACATGGAATTATCATATGCCAGCACCTATAAATACCTTGGTATATGGCTAGATGAACATATCAATTACAATAAAACTGCAAAAGAAATAGCTAAGTCAGCAAACCGTGCCCTTGGAGTTATAATCTCTTAGTATAAACAGTTAGGTGGCATGGATCTCTCAGTGTATAACAAATTGTATGACACCATGGTTCAGCCTATCATTAACTATGGATGCTCAATTGTTGGGCTATCAGAACATAGCTGTATTAACAAAGTGCAAAATAGAGCTGGAAAATTGTTCCTGGGAGTTGGAGCAAAGACCAGCAATGAAGCAGTAAGAGGGGATTTAGGTTGGACACAAGCAAAGGACAAACAGAAAATTGAATGTGTACGCCACCTTATTAGACTCAGAAACATGAACCCCAACAGATTGAACTATAAGATCTACAAATGGTCCCTAAAAAGACGCTCAAGCTGGGATTCCAGAACACAGCACATAATACAACTAGCAGGCCTTGAACAACATTTAGGGACACAAACTCCATGTAAACCCTTCATGAAAAAAATGAGTGATTATTTTCAACAAACTGATCCATTTCTTACAAATATTTGGAATGATCAACATAACCTAGTCAATGGTAATAAACTGAGGACATATAGACAGTTCAAGTACGGAGTAGTAACTGAACATTATAATAACATTTACATGCCAAGACATCATAGGAAAACTCTAGCTAGCTTTAGAACTGGGTCCATTCAACTTAATGTTGAGACACAAAGGTATAATAACACACCTTTATTGGAAAGGAAGTGTAAACTGTGTGACTCAAATGAAGTTGAAGATTATACAGAATTAAGAGACATGTTGTATCAGGAAGCCAAAGTTAAAGTACCTTATTTAAATACTTCAAGTGTCAATCCAACCTTAGTTATGATCACATTACTACATGCAAAGAACATTCAAAGCTGCCTTGCTGCTACTCTTTACAAAATGTTCTCAAAACGTTTATTTAACCTGGAACGTTTGTGATATTAAATATGTACAATATTATCAACCAAAGTCATAATTACTGTATTCTCATTTATTGCATTTTGAAATCACATGTTTATATTGTATGTTATTTTAATCTAGTCATTTTGTCTGAATTGTTCACACTCTGCAAACTTACTTTACACCCTCTGTGATATTATTCGACATACCGATGCTATATTTTTCTATTGATTTAATCTTTGTATATTTATATGGTGTCTCGTAAGCCGATGTCGGCTGTTGGCTTTTTTAACACATGTATTTTACTTGTAATATTTTAGTAAACCTGTGACACAGAAATAAACAATTGTTAAACCAAACTATTAATTGTAATTAAATGCCTTTAAGACCCTGAATGATATATTTGGTGATATACATGTAGATTCTAATCTAAAGAAATTTTATCTATCAAATACTTTTTGTATCTTATCTTAAAAATATTCAAAGAAGAGCTTTCCCTTATTGGCCTTTCAATACTGTTCGATATCCATTGACCTTGAATCTTTGTAGAAAAAATCCTACTTTGGTTTTATATCCAAAAGCATGTAGATCCTGGCAATGGCGAGTATGATAATTGTGAATGTCAACATTTATTTGGAAAAAGTCACCAAAAAGTTGTGGAAACACTGTTAATCCGTTGTACCATTTGTACACAAACCGACCTACGTTAAAAAGGTGGATATTGTACATATCCAACACTTTGAATATTGTTTAAAAAGCGGAGCTGTATGGGCTCTTCTATTTATCTATTTATTTTGACTTTATATCACAACCATGCCACGGTTTTCTTCAGGCTGAAAAGACAGGTACAACACAAAACCTCAAGATGTTGACCTTACTAAAAACAAGAGCTTCAGGAGCTTTTCACAAATTTAACGAGGTACTCGAAGAAACTGCACACGGGGATCTCGCAAAACTTCTCAAAGATGCAGAATTGCAGAGAAACGAAGGTCCGTTTCTATCTCAAGTATTAAACTTTACAGGATATTCAAAGATAGAAAAGATAGGGTTGGCCAAATTTTTATTTTAAAGTATTTGAATTAATGTCAAAGTACTGTATATTCAATGTTAGATTTTGTAATACAAGGCGTATCAAAAAACGCAACAAGCAGTTATCTCGTAAAATCACAAAACCAGTGATGACTTCATCAATTTTATTTAATTTACCATGAAGCCACATCCCCCTCTTTGCAATGATATGTCAATCATTCACATATGGTCACGGTTGGCGAAATCCTTCCATTTGCACAGTGTGTCAAAATCGGCTCTGGACCAAGTTTCAGATATTGCAAAAATCAGTGCAAGGGCTAAGTGCCGTCGGAAGCAGGGGCGGATCCAGGATTTCAGGTTAGGGGGTGCGCCTTGATTTTTGAATTCGAGGTCGATGGATGAACAAAGGAGGCTGGAGACCGACAAACATGAGGTCCCCGGGAATTTCGAGAATTTGAATGTCATTTGCTGCGATCTGATCATTTTTTAATATTTTTAAATCATTGTACCGTACCAAAAAATTGCGGATAATAAGCTTACATAACTGGTGGTACATGTACTATCTAGACAAGTCGGAGGAACGTGTACGCAGAATGCGTATTGATCAAGATAAGTTCTTGAAACGTTTATTGCAAATTTGACTGAAAACTGGATCTGCAATGAATTAAAAGTTTTATTTTTCTTAGATAACGCCAACATTCTATTCTATTATTGTTTTTGGTAAAATTATTTTCATCAACCTTCGGTTAAAATCGTTTTAACTGAAATCTTAATTAAATTGAACATCCCAAACATACAAATGATAACGTGTGACATATCAGACGATGTTACATGTGTCCATTTTCATGATTCAAAAAGACGTAACACAATTTAATCATGACACCAATTTTGATTAAAAAGCTATTGAAATGTGAATTTAATTGTTTTACCAAAGTGAAATTGGTCATCTATAGCGTCCGAGAAATAAAACAATTATATTTCATCAGAAAATCAGACTGTGCGATTTCAAAGATCAACGTTTCCATGGGCTTTCTAATTGAAAACCAATGTCGTTTCCAAGCAGTGCATTATTTTGCATCAGAGGCATTTTAATATTGAAGCAGTTTTTGAATTTACACCTTCAAAGTTCAAACGCTCTATTGTTGACATGTTATCAGTTTTTTCATTTTCAAATGTCTCTGCTTGAATACATTTTTCTTTGATATTAGTCTATCTAATGTCTATGCCGGATTTTAGGGGGAGCGCGCGTCCCGCGCGCACCTTTTCCCCGCTGAGCCTGTAACCCATACATGACTCAGGACTGAACCATGAATGACATGGAGAGATGAGCGCATCTTTATGTGTCAAGAAGTGGTGGCAATTTGGAGGGGTATAGGCTGTATTCTTGTAAGAGTATGAATAAAACACTTTACTGTGTATGTCACACCTGCCACACCTTCTTCCAATTACCCTTATGCCTTGGGCCCCGTACTCTGAATTTCGCGACGTTTATAAATTGGTCCCAAGCTAATTTTGGCCCACTTTGCAAAAGAAATGATTACTCGCCCCACCATGACCCAATATCAACGAATGATATACCATTGGAAAGAGGTACATTGAATGAAATCAATGCTGTTATCACTGGTTTTATGCTTTTCCGAGATAACAATCTGTTGCGTTTTTGTGATACGCACTGTACAATGTATTTGATCTCCGCCAAACGTTGGCATTTCATTTCCCTGAGTGGGCCCATCGAAATATCATTGAATAAGAAGACATTGAAATAAATTTAATGTTGTTTTGAATCTTACAGTGGTGGCGTCTCCAAATCTACAAAACCAAATGCTACGAATCTTATCCAAAGCCATCAACGAGGAACCCCTGTCTCGGGAAGACAAGGAAATTATCAAAAGCATCAAAAGGAAAGAGAACTATGCATCTGAGATAATTGCCCGTAAAGGTGACAAGATTGCTCAACTGAACTACCAAGTAAATACACTTCAAAAGAAGGTGACGAGTCTCAGTGAGGACCTCGATAGAAATGAAATAGTAAATAACAATGGCATACTCGAAATAAAGGAACTACGGGATGAAATAGTTATTCGTGATGATGAAATCAAAAAACTTAAAGAGGAGATGAAATCGAAGTTCAACCTCAACGATCATAACAATGAACGCCCAGGGGAATCCTCTGAACAAGAAGTAAAAGAAATAAATGCCATTACAGATAAAAAAGTTGACCAAATTTCAAAATTGACAGAAAAGCTGGAAAACTATCAAACCGACGCGAGGCAATTTGAAAAGAAAATCGAAACGATTAATGTCAAATTACAGGCCGTTGCGAAATGCAATCCAAATGATTATCATATATCAACGGAAAATAAGCAAATGTCTATTTTACACCTAAATATAACATTCATTGAGGAGAACATAGAATATCTTCAGCAAAAGCTCTTAAGTGAACTAAACATGATAAGTCAATTACAAACTGAACAGAGATTGGTCGCTCAAATACTCGGATTTGATAAGATTGAAAAAAACTTGTATCATACTGCAAAAACCTTTTTGGATAATTTTGAAAATCAAGCAGAAGAAAAGAAAAAAGAAATTGATAATTTAAAGAAAGAATTGGGAGAAGCAAAGATGAAAAAAAAGAAACTACAGAAAGAAGTCAAGACGCTTAAAGTGAATGAGATTCAGATACGAAAAAACTACGAATCTATGAAAAAAGCACATCATGATTTACAAAGACAAATCAATGAGAGGAGACCAAGTAGTGCCAGATACGGTGACTCGGGCAATGGGAATAGCATTACACTTCCAGATATATCGGATAGAGAATACCAAGCCAAAAGTTATACTCTATCGAGGAGTAATAAAAGTGAGCCTACTTTCCAAGCTCCAGCATCTTTTAGCCAATTGCAAAAAATAAATTCATCCAGAACAAGACGACCGATCTGTTCTCGGACAGCTTCCAGGACACCCCTTAAAACACCCATTGTGTCTCTTGGCAAAGATACTCACACACACGAGAAAAGGCAATATAGCAAATCCACTGGTAAGAGCTACGTTTTGCTATAGAACTGACGAGAAATCAAAAGAAGAATGGGTTCAAAATGTAACATTATCTTAAAATGGGAACTTTCGAGTTATTGTTATTTATTGTAGTTATTGTTTGTGATTGCATTTTTATTGATATTGTTTTCATACCTGTTTCAGGTGTTTTGGATGGTCAATATCTACAACAAATTGCTGAAAAAGTAGGACCCGACAAGTGCCATGCTCTAGGAAATCAACTAAGTATTAGTAAAACGACTATTGAAACAATCATTTTAAGTAACCAACATAATGCTGGTGTATGGGTGTTGAACGTTTTAACAACTTGGAATCAGAGGCTTTCCAAAGACCAAAACGGAAAACATATACTGGCACGTGCACTTAAAGCTATAGGACTAGTTGCTTTGGGAGAAGCTGTGGAAGACTATAAAGGTAGAGACGAGACTTTCATCTAAAGGGTGGGCTAAATGTGTTTCATGCATCGGCAGCAAAAACACTTGAAATCTATCATAAATCATGAAATCATTATTGATGTCTTTGGCTCCCACACACTAAGAGTTTCGGTAAATTATTTGACTAGAGAACTGATCGTTCCAAAAGTCGTATATTCACACATATTGATACCACAAAGAAAGCTAAATGTTTAATTCAGTGTTGTGCCAATTGGTACTAAAAAAAACGAATCGGTCTCATTGCAAGAATTTGTGTTGTTGCTTCAATAAAATGTTTGTAGCACAAATGGTGTTTCACGGAAGTTAAAAGAGCAAAAACAAATTGCAACATTTGTATCTATCAAAAGCAATCGAAAATTGGACCATAAATCTTTTAGGACCTTATTTTTAAAGCAATCTTACTTACAGTGAATGGGAATGGTGATGACGACGACGACGACGATGCGCTCTGATCGTACTACATTTCTATTATGCATGCATGATGAATCTTCGGGTTAGAAAAAATGGAATGGCTAATCATGACGACAATTGCAATGAAGACATTGATGAATATCAAGACAATGATGAGACACCACACTAATGGAGTTATCCATGTGATTATGACTTTGGGGAAGCTCAACGTGATACCAATTATAAATCAGGTTCAATCTGTTGGGGTTCATGTTTCTGAGTCTAATAAGGTGGCGTACACATTCAATTTTCTGTTTATCATTTGCTTGTGTCCAGCCTAAATCCCCTCTTACTGCTTCATTGCTGGTCTTTGCTCCAACACCCAGGAAAAAAATTTCCAGCTCTATTTTGCACTTTGTTAATACAGCTATGTTCTGACAGCCCAACAATTGAGCATCCATAGTTAATAATAGGCTGAACCATGGTGTCATACAATTTGTTATACACTGAGAGATCCATGCCACCTAACTGTTTATACTTAGAGATTATAACTCCAAGGGCACGATTTGCTGACTTGGCTATTTCTTTTGCAGTTTTATTGTAATTGATATGATCATCTAACCATATACCAAGGTATTTATAGGTGCTGGCATATGATAATTCCATGTTGCCACAGTTGAATTGATGATTACTACGGGGTTTTGAAGGTGGGCGATAATGTACAATTTTGGACTTTCTCTGGTTGATTTTCATTCTCCACTTCCTGCACCATGTATTTACAGTGTCAATCATTCTCTGAAGGTCTTCTGCAGAGCTGGCTATGAGGGCTATATCGTCAGCATATAAAAGTATTGAGACATTTGTGTTGTCTATATTTATCCCAAAGTTCAATTGTTTTACTTCTGCGGCTAGGTCATTCACATAGATCGCAAATATTGTCGGAGATAACAGACAGCCTTCCTTCGAACCCTTGCTGATGGTAAACCAGGGTGTTAAATATCCATTGACACGAATGGCTCCAGATACATCCTGATATATTGATTTAATTGCATTGAATATTTTGCCCTTGACTCCAATGCGGTTTAATTTTAGCCACATACAATCATGGTTTATACCACTAAAAGCTTTCGTTGCGTCGATATAACAAACAAATGTCTCGAGTTTAGCCAACTTACGATTATTAACTATTGAGTGGAGGCTGTGGGCATGATCTAAACAGCTGCGCTTTTCACGAAATCCATTTTGCTCATCAACCAATAAGTTGTTGCTCTCAAGGAACTTTGTAAGGCGCTTGTTAAGAATATCACAGTATATTTTACATGGCACTGAGATTAGGCTGATTGCTCTGTAGTTAAGTGGGTCACGGTTGTCGCCATCCTTGAAAATTGGATTAATTATGGTCTGCATCCACTTTTGGGGGACAATTCCACTATCAAAGCATTCTATGATAATTTTATACAACATATTTATACAAGTTGGGTTTGCAATACTTCTGCTGGGATTGAGTCAATGCCCACGGCTTTGCGAATTTTGGCTCGATGAACTGCATTGATGACTTCCTGTAGGGTTATGTCCTCATTAAGTGGTGCACTTAGTGGGTCAACATTATCATTTTCAATATGGGAGAGTTCTTCCTTGACTTGTTTCAAGTGATTCTCATCAAAGTTGACATTGTCCTCTTTTTCTGAATATAATTCATTGTATGAGTTGGCCCAATAATTTAAGACTTCTTGTTTGTCTGTTGATACAGTTTTGTCTGGTTTTAAAATTTCCCAAGGAACTTCCTGTTTTCGGTCTGAGGCGATGCCAATTTTTCCAATTTTATCCCAAAAGTTCCTAGAATTTGGTTCATTGTATATATCCAATAGATGTTGTTGTTCTTGTTTCTGGAATTGTCACTTTATTCTGCGATGGATTCTGTCAAAGGTTCGTCGTTCTATCTTGTAAAGTTCTTTCAAGTTACGTTTTTGGGTGGATTTACATTTCAGCCAGGCAGATTCAGATGCAGACACTTTATTCCATTGTGTTTGTAGTTCATCACACCAGTATGGCTTTCTGAATGAATTTTTTCTTTTTCTCTTCGGAAAGTGTTCTCAGTAGCGAGTGGAGCGATCTATTGAAACGTTCACATTGCCCATTTCCCGAAGGATGGTATGGAGTTGTTCTAGATTTTTTGATTCCATAGAGCTGGCATAAGCTTGCAATAATTTCACTTTCAAAATTTCGTCCCTGGTCTGAGTGGATTCTCATTGGTATTCCAAAATTATAGAACCAATTGTTGACTAGGACTTTTGCGACTGTATCCGCTTTTTGATTCTTTGTAGGAATTGCAAGAGTGTATTTTGTGAAAGCGTCAGTTATTATAAGAACATTTTCGATTCCATCGGAAGATTTCTCCAAAAGTGTAAAGTCTAGAAATAATAACTCAAGTGGGCTTTTGGCTGTTAAACTTCCCAATGGCGTAATTACATTTCTGACTGGTTTCTTGGAATACAAACATCTTGAGCAATCTCGTACATAGTTTCGTATATCTGTATACATTCCTGGCCAGAAGAAAGACTTTGTTACAAGTATTTCAGTTCTGTCAGATCCTTGATGTCCGCTCATATCATGGTTAGCTTTCAATACATCTTCACGAATACATTGTGGGACTATGATTTGATAAGTTTCATTTCCATTGTTGTCCTTGATTTTTCTAACTAGAACATTTTTGATAATATTTAGACGGTTCCAATTCCGAAGTAGAGCTTTGGATGTTTTAGACAGTTTTTTCTGTTCAATCTTGTCCAGCCTAAATCCCCTCTTACTGCTTCATTGCTGGTCTTTGCTCCAACACCCAGGAAAAAAATTTCCAGCTCTATTTTGCACTTTGTTAATACAGCTATGTTCTGACAGCCCAACAATTGAGCATCCATAGTTAATAATAGGCTGAACCATGGTGTCATACAATTTGTTATACACTGAGAGATCCATGCCACCTAACTGTTTATACTTAGAGATTATAACTCCAAGGGCACGATTTGCTGACTTGGCTATTTCTTTTGCAGTTTTATTGTAATTGATATGATCATCTAACCATATACCAAGGTATTTATAGGTGCTGGCATATGATAATTCCATGTTGCCACAGTTGAATTGATGATTACTACGGGGTTTTGAAGGTGGGCGATAATGTACAATTTTGGACTTTCTCTGGTTGATTTTCATTCTCCACTTCCTGCACCATGTATTTACAGTGTCAATCATTCTCTGAAGGTCTTCTGCAGAGCTGGCTATGAGGGCTATATCGTCAGCATATAAAAGTATTGAGACATTTGTGTTGTCTATATTTATCCCAAAGTTCAATTGTTTTACTTCTGCGGCTAGGTCATTCACATAGATCGCAAATATTGTCGGAGATAACAGACAGCCTTCCTTCGAACCCTTGCTGATGGTAAACCAGGGTGTTAAATATCCATTGACACGAATGGCTCCAGATACATCCTGATATATTGATTTAATTGCATTGAATATTTTGCCCTTGACTCCAATGCGGTTTAATTTTAGCCACATACAATCACGGTTTATACCACTAAAAGCTTTCGTTGCGTCGATATAACAAACAAATGTCTCGAGTTTAGCCAACTTACGATTATTAACTATTGAGTGGAGGCTGTGGGCATGATCTAAACAGCTGCGCTTTTCACGAAATCCATTTTGCTCATCAACCAATAAGTTGTTGCTCTCAAGGAACTTTGTAAGGCGCTTGTTAAGAATATCACAGTATATTTTACATGGCACTGAGATTAGGCTGATTGCTCTGTAGTTAAGTGGGTCACGGTTGTCGCCATCCTTGAAAATTGGATTAATTATGGTCTGCATCCACTTTTGGGGGACAATTCCACTATCAAAGCATTCTATGATAATTTTATACAACATATTTATACAAGTTGGGTTTGCAATACTTCTGCTGGGATTGAGTCAATGCCCACGGCTTTGCGAATTTTGGCTCGATGAACTGCATTGATGACTTCCTGTAGGGTTATGTCCTCATTAAGTGGTGCACTTAGTGGGTCAACATTATCATTTTCAATATGGGAGAGTTCTTCCTTGACTTGTTTCAAGTGATTCTCATCAAAGTTGACATTGTCCTCTTTTTCTGAATATAATTCATTGTATGAGTTGGCCCAATAATTTAAGACTTCTTGTTTGTCTGTTGATACAGTTTTGTCTGGTTTTAAAATTTCCCAAGGAACTTCCTGTTTTCGGTCTGAGGCGATGCCAATTTTTCCAATTTTATCCCAAAAGTTCCTAGAATTTGGTTCATTGTATATATCCAATAGATGTTGTTGTTCTTGTTTCTGGAATTGTCACTTTATTCTGCGATGGATTCTGTCAAAGGTTCGTCGTTCTATCTTGTAAAGTTCTTTCAAGTTACGTTTTTGGGTGGATTTACATTTCAGCCAGGCAGATTCAGATGCAGACACTTTATTCCATTGTGTTTGTAGTTCATCACACCAGTATGGCTTTCTGAATGACTTGGTTTTTTAGCAGTGGCCTACACTGTGACTGGTTGGAACACTTTGCTCATTTCATTGTCAATAGCTGAGACAAACTCATTGTACATACAATTGATACGCTCAGTGGTATTAGTTGTTCTTGAGATACGATCTAAAGTTTTATTAATTTGTGTTATTAGGTTAATAATCAATAATCTGTATATTAAATAAATAAGACAATACAAAACAATTCTCTCTTCATCTATTCTCTTATTAAGAGTAATATGGTGCATTTACAACATATTGTACAACATTTTGTGCATTGGACGAATTATAATTATGCCCGCCGCGGAGTTTATGCAGACATTTTTGAGAGAAAGTACCCAATATTTATTTTTTGAACTACTGATGGCGATAGTGGCATGATATCCAACTTAACTACGACCCTGAAGGGACACTGGAAAGTTAAGAGACATAGCCACAGAAAGAATAAAGGAGTTGGGCCAATGAAAAATCTTTTACACGAAAATGTTTTAACCGAGACCACCAGGTTGGAATATAAGACGACTTTTCAAAAGTTTAAGCAATCTCAACATTTTGTCATGCACAAGGTACTAGGATATTCATACTATTTATAGTTTTTTACACTAGGTCATTTAATAATAAGCATCTGATGTCAATCGTAGAATGTTAATATTGTATTCTGATTTGCTAAGCCTTCTTATCATGTGATGTGACATATTACCTCAGGTGGAGATACCAGACTTGCTCATATTTTTAATAATCACAAATAATTTATTTCAATAATCATAATCAATAATCTTAGATGGTGAACAGTGCAATTTTATTAAGTTATCTTTAACTTTTTGCGAAGTCATGATTAATTTGCTAAACGGTTTGAAATATAATCTAAAAATCGCCATGTTATCGTAACCGTTTCTTCGTTCTTTGATCATTAAACATGTACGACTGCCATAAAACATTTTAGAATTGATATTGAGCGACAATCGATTCGATTCATCAAAATAAAGAGAGAGAGAATATATGCAAGTGAAAATTCAAACTATGATTCTCTAGTTTGTTGTATTACATTTACATTAGTATTAAACTTTTTGGTTAGATTGAGAAATACTACTACTCTTGATTTAATATCATGAGAATGCTTCACTTTTCTGAAAGAAAAAAGGTCACTGTACTAAGAATAAGAAGTGCTGAATCACTTTCTCCATTTCAATACAAATATTACATTTTCACGATCTTTTAACTATTGTTAATATTATTTGTATAGGTAACGTGCATTTGTTAGCTTAATCGTTTTTCACAATTGCAATTTTTTAAGTAAATCTTTTAACAATGGTTTTCGAGTTTGCCTGTTCTTGAAAAATTTCAATGTTAAATCTGAATTGATATATAGAAAACTGGGATCTGGGCCCTGGGCCTTGGAAATTCCACATATTTTACGTAAGGAAATTAACTGCGTCATGGCCATAAAGCCAAATGACCAGCGTTTTAAAGTATCTAAAATCTTCGAACTCTAAATAACAATTTTCAGTAAAATCTTGAATTTGGTTGTCCCTATCTAGGACAAAATCAAATTATGGATAAGTTCCACCGAGAGATCATAACTGCGTTAACGCCAGAACTTCAAAGTGACATTGTTCCACTTCCCAGTTTCTATGCGAAGCTACTTGCTAAGGGAATCTTCACTGATGAAATGGTTCAACAGATTCAGGTATGATGGAATATATTTAGGATACACTATACTAACTAGAAAGTAAAAAATATCAAGCGCATATTCTTGGTCAATGTTCATTTCCAAGAATGATTATTCACCCAAAATCTATATTTATAATATGCGGGCAAAATAGCTTCAAACAAGAGGTGCAAAAATACCCGAAGACGGGCATAAAATGAAAATAAGCTTTTGATTAAAGGGGACTGTCATTCACTGTCATTCAACCATGTGTACCTTTCATTCATATGTCTTATATATCCAGGCTCAGAAGACTGAAAGTGAACAAAACTTAAGGATGTTGACCTTATTGAAGAAGAGGGCAAAAGTATTTCACAAATTCTGCGAGATCCTTGAAGATACGTCATACAAACACCTTGCCAAACTTCTCAGAGATGAAGAGACACGGAGACGTGAAGGTATTGAGATCATATCAAGTCGTTAGTCATGTCCAAACCCTAAAAACTACTCTTTGCCATGATAAAAGTTGATTGAATTGACCCCAAATGAAATGAAAATAAGTAAATAGCTGAGACCATCATTTTATGTTCTCAGGCAAATAATAAACAGAAATACATGCTATACCTGTTCAATCTTGTACGTAGCAGTATGGTTATTTGTAAATATACTTTTTGATAAAATATTCTAATACTTATACTTAAGTATATTTTATCCAATCATAACGACAAAAATACAAAATGTAATGATATTTGCTCATATTATTGTAGTGACGACGCCTCCAAGCGAACAAATGCAAGAGTTCTTCTCCAAAAACCTTGCCACAAATAGACATCTATCTCAAAATGATAAGCAAGTGATCTGCAACAATCTAGTCACAAAAGACGAATTTATGCGAGAAAGACGTTCCCTCAATGAAAAGGATGATGAGAATAAACGCTTAAACAACCAAGTAAAGCCTCTTCAAAATGAGTTGTCGAATGTCAATGACAAACTTAACATAAGTTTGAAAGTAATTAAAGGTAACAACGTTGAAATGGATGAACTCAATCAGAAAATAAAAGAACTACAAGCTAAAATTAAAGAACTCTCTCAAGAAAAAATGAGTTTGGAGGACAAACTTAACAGAAATTACAATGGAAGTCCGAGAATTGTGAACTCACTTGACCAAGAACCGAAAGATCAAGTTTGGATTGCAGATGCAAAGGATGAAGAAATTTCAAAATTAAAAGAGGAACTAGATATTAAACAAAGTAACTTAGAAGGGATTCGTATTCAGTTCGAAAGCCACAAGCGTGACCACGAGGAGAAAATAAAGAAGATTAATGAAAAAATGCAGGCTGTTACGGACCATAATCCAAATGATGACAATCTACCTATTGATACAAAACATATGGTTATACTCCACATGAATATGGAACATGTGGAAAATAAAATAGCGGCACTCCAGGAAGACCTCTTCCAGGCCCATAACACTATAAGGGAACTGGAAACCGAACAGCAAACCGCATGTGAAATCCGAGGGTTTGATAGGGTTGAGAACAACCAAAACATCGATACAATAGAACTAAGCTTCATAAATAAACTTCAGACTGAAACGGAAGATCAGAAAATAAAAATAAATTATCTGAAGAAAAAGTTAAAGGAAGCAAAAACGGAAAAATCAAACTTACAGCGACAACTTGATAAGCTAAAAATAAATGAGGAGCTAATGAAACAAAATCTCAAAACAATGAAAAAGAAATATCTTGATTTACGTGGAAGGATGCATGAAAGAAGAGGAAGTAGCGCTGGTGAAAGTCACTCAAGTGGCGGGGACATCGTTCAACTGCCAGATATCTCAGTATTAAACCGGTTTGCAGACCTAGCCAAAAATCTAACCCTAAAGAAAAGCCCGAGTGAGCCAGTTTTTAAAGACACTTTCCCAGATGTGATTCGCGTTGCACACCCTCAGAATTCTCTTACAAGACCGCAGAAATCTGACAAATATCACCCTCGGTCACGCCATCTATCTATCGATAGATTACCTCCTTTGGACGAAGACTCCGGCGGGAAAAGGATGTTTGAGAAAACCATAAAACGTACATGATATATTAAAACACACGTTCTGTTTATCACAAAGGACAGCATGGCAAGTCTAAACAATCATTTGGAAAGAGATGGTCTTGCTCCCTCGTTCCTGATGAGAATTCAAAAGGATGCGGATGAAGTTCAAATGATGATGAATAATCTCAAAATGTAGAATGTCATTACAAAATTGTGTCAGTCATGTCAGTAGCTAGGGTCTGTATATGTGCACGGCATGCATATCTTATATGGTCTTCAGAATCTATACATCAGGGACTCATCGAAGCTCTTTCAAATTAATCTTTTCATCGATGGAGTACTTCAGGGTTCTATTATCACACTTCTATTAATTTTGTAAATGACTCATTTTCAGTTAAAAATGAACACATTCCCGATGACACTATTACTTAACAAATTGGAATAAATATTTTATAATATAACTCAGGACAAAGATATTACTTTGTTTAGAAATCTTGAGGTATAGATGCTTTCATGGATGAGTATATAGAAAACTTTTACAGACTATTATTTTGTAGACATTTTATGACTTTCATACTTTTCAGCTTTTTTCTATGTTGGTCTATAAACCTAATAAAGAGCAATATAAACGATGTTCTCTCTATATGTACTCTCTTTATTTAATTTTATTAAGAATAATTTAGTGCATTTACAATTTACATATAATTGTATAACAACTAGGGGAATCTATATCTCACCTAGATAACAAACACAATAATTGACTCTATTTAATTGATTTACAATTTCATTTTTTTTGCATTATATAGCCATGGAAAGTTAATTAAATGTTTAACGTCCTTATTATAGGTTGAATATTAGGAGAAGGGATGTTAAACATATATTTAACTTTGAATTACCTAAGCTTTGAGTGCCAAAGGCATTAAGCTACCTTACATACAATTTTCAATGTTCTCCTAATTAAAATAATAATTACATATCAGACAGACCCCCCTCCCTCCTGATATTAAAAAGAACATCTACTGTATTGGTTTTTTCAACCAAAATGTTTCATTTGAATAAACTGAACCATTGAACCTTCCCCTAAACATAATTAATGACACTTTGGAACATACATCGATGTATTGGCCATAGACTCACGCATTTCTTGAGTACACATGGATGCATTGGCCATAGACTCATGCATTTCTTGAGTACACATCGATGTATTGGCCATATACTCATGCATTTCTTGAGTACACATGGATGTATTGGCCATATACTCATGCATTTCTTGAGTAGACATGGATGTATTGGCCATATACTCATGCATTTCTTGAGTACACATGGATGCATTGGCCATAAACCCATGCATTTCTTGAGTACACATGGATGTATTGGCCATATACTCATGCATTTCTTGAGTACACATGGATGTATCGGCCATATACTCATGCATTTCTTGAGTACACATGGATGTATTGGCCATATACTCATGCATTTCTTGAGTACACATGGATGCATTGGCCATAAACTCATGCATTTCTTGAGTACACATGGATGTATTGGCCATATACTCATGTATTTCTTGAGTACACATGGATGTATTGGCCAAAGGCTCATGCATTTCTTGAGTGCACATGTCACTCTATATGTTTAGCATTACTTACCCTATGCATTTTTAGGTAGGTAGTATCAGATCTAGCAAACAACCTTAACAAAAAAAATTTTGAGTGATATCATTCCTTTCATGTCTATTTTTTAAAAATCCTTCATACAGTGCATACTTAAGGAAACCTTAAAAGATTCTTAAAATAATTTCCCCAAAAAATAGTTTCCATATTTATTACTTATTATCATTTGGAAGAATTGAAATATTTTTTGATCCTCACTTTTACACTTTGAACCTATAATAGCTTCACAAATTTCATAACATCACAGATCTGTTGAAAGATATTATATCTGAAATCGTAAGGAACACATTGTCAATTCAATTTTTCATGTTGCTTGCAATTTTGTCACCCCTTATAGACCTGATTCTGCCTTTAAATAAATGTATTATGTCATAACAAGATGCCTTTCAGCATCAATACTTTACAAACAAACAATTTCCACAACATTTGAAGAGCCTGAAACCTAATAATAAAAAATATATATACTTATAACAATAGCTATTACCCCTCAATTTACATGGTTCCTGATTTTGAATGTTTTATTTACAGGATGGTTTTCATGAAAAAATGTCAATCTTGCACCAAGATCTCGACCCTGTATCCCCCTTCTTGCATAAAAGAAAGAGGGAGGGGGAGGTGTAGAGTCTAAATCCAAGACTAGACAAATGAAATAAAAGACTTAATGACATCACTTCCTGTGTGAAATTTCAAAAGATGACAGCCTCCTGGAAACAAGACCAACATTTTTTAAAGATAAATATTGACCATATTGCAATATTTTTCCACGTTTTGCTTAATATGGAAAGTACATATACTGTATGGCTATAACTACTACATGTATATTAGGAGAGAAATGGTCTGGCAAGGAATGTCCCTTTACAGAGCCAATAGCTGTAATTCTAATCCTAACAATCCTAAAATTTCAGTAAATTTCTGTAAATACTGAAGCTTCAAAAATTGGGAAATTTTTCATAAGATAAGATATGATATGTCTAAGTTTATAGATTATGTAAGTGTATCATTATCATTATCAAAACGTATAAGGGTTATGTCGGGCGAGAATTACAGCTATTGACGCTTCAATATGTAAATTAGCAAAATTTAAGTATCAAATATGTCTTGAAGGGATTTTTGTAGTTTTAGGATGTTGGCAACTCAATCGTTACAGTAAATATAGCGAAGTAAAGTAGAGTACAGTAAATACAGTTAAATTTTCATAGGCTACTACCAGTCCAGTAATTAAGGATTTTATGAACATCATGTGACAATTTGTGCTTGTGTAGTAGTGTGAACTGGTGGATGATACTACTCTGTACAACAACGCACCACACTACACTATATACTACAGTACTGTAATGTACTGCACTACACTACACTATACTACAGTACATTACACTATGTAGAATTGCACTGAACTACATTGTACAATAAGATTCTGTGTAATGCTCCGTTTTGTTGTTGGACACAGTTTTTGAGTCATTATGATAAATTGTTGAATTACTGATTCAGAAATGTCATCAAAAATAGTTAAGGAATTGTTGCACAAAGTTGCAGAATTGTCTCACAAAGTTGCAGGATTGCCTCACATGGTTGCAGAATTGTCTCACATAGTTGCAGAATTGTCTCACATAGTTGCAGAATTGTCTCACATAGTTGCAGAATTATCTCACATAGTTGTAGAATTGTCTCGCATAGTTGCAGAATTGTCTCAAAAAGTTGTAGAATTGTCTCACATAGTTGCAGAATTGTCTCACATAGTTGTCACAGTGCATATATTCAGGTCAATGAATAAAATCACAAAATTTGATGAAATGGTAAATGAATGAACAGATGAAAAATTGCTCTGCACCATGTTTCTTTATATAATATAGTTATTCCAGTTGAAGATCCACTCTTCAGTGTGACTTAGGAGCCCTCAGTGGGACCCGTTGATGACATATCAAATACTTAAGAGCCCACAGTAGGACCACTTGATGACACATCAAATAAATTAGGACCTTACAGTGGGATCTCTTGATGATACATCAAATACTTAGGAGCCCACAGTGGGACTCTTCGATGACACATCAAATACTTAGGAGCCCACAGTGGGACTCTTCGATGACACATCAAATACTTAGGAGCCCACAGTGGGACTCTTCGATGACACATCAAATACTTAGGAGCCCACAGTGAGACCCCTCCATGACACAATAAATGCTTGGCAGACCAATTTGGTTTTGTCTTGAATCGCTGTTTTACGAAGAACTACTGGTTTCTACACCTGCAAATATAAATTGACATGTTATGAGAATTACATTACTGCAGCCAGGAAAATTCAAGAAAACATTGCAAATTCTTAGCATGCTGCCAAGGAGGATTGGCTCCCAGGATCAAAACTCAAAATTTCCAACAATGAAAACGTTGAAATGTTGTTATTTTCTGAAATTATAACCGGCTATAAATTCAAATGATAATTCAAACCTATATCTCGCTCATTTCTTGTGAGTTTTGGAATTTTTAGTAAGGAAATAAGACCAAAATTCACGATTCAAATGTTAGAGTGAACAAAATGGCGGCTGTTTGAATTCGAATTTTGTATCAAAACATGCCCATATATGGAACAGAATATGGATGTTGCACTCTGGGATCCAATCCTCCTTGGCATGCTGCTATTACACAATACCTCAGTTTGGCCCTCTATAGGGAAAAAGCAAAAATAACAAGTGCTGCCCTCTTTATGACCTTTCTTCTCTAAATCAAAATAACAAGGTCATTTATCACTTCAAGCAACAGACCAATTACACAGTGTAGTGAATCATATCACTTAGTCACTCTACTATACCTAACCCCTAGAAATGCATAAGATACTCTGTTTGTCGAATTGAATTGTTTAGTATATTTTTGAAAGTACCTTATTAACATCTAGGTCATCCGATAAACCATTGATAAGGAACAGACAAATAAAAACAAGTACATAATCATTACTAGTAAGCCAAATGGGATGCTCATGAACACCAAATGCAAGGTATAGTAGAGTGTTATTGTTTATGATGTCATTCTTACAGTTTCAGAGCAGAGATAAGATCAACTTATTGCTAATTGCTAATTGATAAGTTGCTTTCAATTTTGCCTACAAACATTGCTGCTTGCATAGAATGATATCATAAATCTAGCAAATATACTCTAATTTCTTTTGTGCACCAAATGCCTATATTCTTTGAAATGCACCTGTTTTGAGGGAACAATTTAAAACACAATTCCATACACTCAAGTTATCATTGTTGCATGTTAGTATCTAAATTGCTGGAAAAATAGAAGTACATTTAAACCAGAGAAATAGAACAACTAACATTCCAATACTTGAAATCCCATAGGCCAATTTTTCATTAACTTGATGTAAAATGTGAGTAAAAACTCCCTATAAGTGGAGCACTATTTTGACGAAGAAAAAGTGTTCTACTTACACAGGTTTTTGTATTTACAATTCAACACCCAAATTTAAACATTTTTATGGTAATTTAGCAGAACCACGTTCTTATGAGAGTTTGTGTTCATTACATAAGCACCTTGGGTATATAATATGCCAAATATGGAAATATATTCAAATTGCGGTACAAAGTGATACAAAAAATAAATGTTTTGCGACTAAATTGCGTTTAGTTGTAGAGCCATTTCCAAAAATAGTATGAATTGCAATCGGGAAAATTCATTTCAGAAAATATCTGAAGAAGCAGATGGGATAATAAGATTGTCGTTTATAAAATGTAAAAATTAAAGTTAAAAATTAAAGAAGTTTAATATGGAAATCAACATTTAATATGACTTCCGGTCACAGTTCAGAACAAAGCACTAACATGCAAAATGTCATCACTGAATACTGAACACCAACCACCGAATGCTGAACACCAACTGCCAAACACCATTCACAAAAAATTGGGAGACTATAACAATGTCACCACTTTTTGTGGTGACATAAGAGGGTAGAAACGGCTATAAGAAAAATATTGTTTTGACACATATACCACTTGACACATTCTTACACCTGACACATATAATCACAAGAGACATTTCACCACATCAAACCATAGGTTTCAGGCCACTCCCAATAAAAAAATACAATGTAATTTCTTGATAAAGCTTGAGTAGAAACTGCTTAATATGCACTATAAAGGAGCACCTTGTCATTGGTGGATATATAATATGAGTTGTAGAGTGTAGACCAGTCCAAAGTAGTAAAGAACTAGCTGAGTAAAAAGACACATAATTTAAAAAATTGAATTCCAAATCCCATGCCAAAAGTGTATATTCTTTACTTTCAGGTACAATATCTCTGACTTGTTTTAATTCTTCAGCCATAATTTCATCTACACTCTTCTCCAAAAGTCCTGCATCATCAAAGTTAAGAATATTCAGTAATATATCCATTAGCTTGTATCATTGACTATTATTCATTTCTGCATAATAACATCAATTGACATCAAATCATTGATTTTCAATCTTTTTGTAATTTATTTATTTTATTTCTTTTGTGATTGTTGCTATGGTTACCTCACCTGTAGTTGACGTTGCCAATGGCGATGTGGTTGTTATGTCTGCCAACATGGCATCCAACTCTTTTTCAAAATCATCTTCCTCTTCACCTTAAAAAGAAATATGTTTCATTTACAAGAAAATGAACTCAAAGTTAATTGCACAAATTTATATTTCACGAATTTAGAGAAATCACGATTTAGTGGTTATCAAATTTTGTGGATTCCACAAGTTTAAATTTCATTTTCTCTAAATTCTCAAGCTCTGTTACCCAAGTTACCTATGTTCAGTAATTACACCTAGCCATTGTCATATTTGGACAAGATTTAAAATGTAAGTTATTAAATGATTTGAAGTGCAATACAGGATATATTCTGCTCGAGAAATCTTGTATTGGAACGAGATGCAGATGAGTGCCAATACAGAATATCGAGACAGAATATATCCTGTATTGCACTTCAAATCATTCAATAACGTTTTTATCGTGTGATCCTCTGTATAGCTACTAAGATTGTCCCCTCCGTACCAATATTTTCTGTATTGCGACGGAGATGATCAAAGGGGACAATCTCAGTAGCGATACAGATTGGTACAGCACAAGAACTGACAAATCAGAGGGCTTCATTTTACAGTTCATACGATAAGTACATGTACTAGATCTTGGTCAACAGGATGCAATTTTTCGCAATTTTTCCCACAATCTTCAAAATTATGAGAAATACAATAAGCCTATCTGAAAAAGTTGATGCATGGATTGTACTTGTGCGAGAAGATTATATAAAAATAAAGTTTCTTATAACTTACCAAAAAAATGAGTTAAATTGACGATGAATTTACCGACCTGTTAAGGCTGTGGTAGCATCCTGATCTACGGGACCCAGACTGTCCAATATCTTCCCCAATTCTGTGCTGACACCATTCATTGTAAGAGCACTATTGAAATCAACCTCAGGCTTTTCTGCTGCATCGGCTGAGGGTGTTTCCCCAGAGGTATCAATCGTAGTGCTTTGGGGTTTGTCACTATCAGGCAGTTCTGCCGTGTCTGGTTTACTGCTTGGCTCGTTATGGGCATTAGAGTCCTTTTTAGCTTCTTGTGTAGCATCTTGTTTACTGCTTGGCTCGTTATGCGCATTAGAGTCCTTTTTAGCTTCTTGTGTAGCATCTTGTTTACTGCTTGGCTCGTTATGCGCATTTGAGTCTTTAATAGCTTCTTGTGTAGCATCTTGTTTACTGCTTGGCTCGTTATGCGCATTAGAGTCCTTTTTAGCTTCTTGTGTAGCATCTTGTTTACTGCTTTGTTCTCCATGCGTTTCAGAGTCTATTTTAGCTTCTGTATTTTGGCTATGTGTGGGGTCTATTGCATTCAGTTTGCTGGTGCCGGGTGAGTCACCAGTTTTTAAAGGTAATGGCACAGGAGGTGTATTCACGCCGCCTATTTTAGGATCTGCTATAGTTACTTCTTCAATTTTATCACATGTACTAGTTTTATTGTCTTGTTGCTTAATCTGTTGTTGAAGCTTATATAGATCCAGGGAGTCAGAATGTGGCAGATGTTGTCCTGTATCCTCCAATGGGCTCTCAACAGCCTCTACATTCCTATCCTCTGTAAGGCTATCAAATGCTTTGGCCTCAGAGTCCACAATTTCACTTTTGACACCTATACTGTCATCTGACTGACTTTTTATATGTTCATCATCCACTAAAGGATTCTCATTTTTAACCCGACTATCATCAGAGATTTTAATAGTAACATCTGGTATATTTTTTATTGTATTTTTAGCATTCCCGTAGTGAGCTTCTAAAGAGGCACCTGAAAGGGGATGCCCGGTACTGTCCTGCAGTGTAGGTGTGACGATAAACTTATGTCGTGTTCTTGGACTAAGAGACACAGTTGACTGTTTTGGAGACGACAATGTTCTACTAACTGCACTATCTGGAATATCCACAGTTAGAGGTGTTGAGGTTGCGACTGGTTTAGATCCAGTTTCGACTGGTTGTGAGCTGGTTTTACTCTGGTTAGAACCAGTTACAACTGGAAGTGAGCTAAGTGGTTCACTTTCACTAATGTCTGGTGCTATAATTGTAGGAATGTTGGTGGTTGCGGAAAGTTGTTCCTTAGATGTACTGCTCTGAGTGGAATTTGGAAGAATAACTTGTGGGGTATTTTCTAAAGATGAAACATTTTGTTGCCCTGTGTTTTGATTTAACTGATTAAGTTTCTCCTGATTTAGTTTTTCTTGCTCCTGATTTCGTTTTTCTTGCTCCTGGTTTAGTTTTTCTTGCTCCTTGTTTTGAAGCTCTTGTAAACGTTTCTGTTCCGCTCGTGAATCCTGGAGCTCTTTATTACGCTGTAAAGTTGACGTAATCTGTTCAAGTAGCGCCCTCTGTTGCTCAGCATACTCTTTCACTCCCTGAAAAATAAATAAATTATTTCTTGAAAAAACAACATTGTACTTCAAACATAATTGCGCTCTTTTTTTTCATTTACTACAATACAAATATTTCACCTGCCTTTGGCCTTGTGAGGAGACAGAAATGTTTAATATGCCTATTTCCATGGCAACGATAAACAAACTTTTACTTACGCTTTCTCTCTTTGGCTCCTTATCCAGGTCAACTCTAAGCATTGTTTCGCTGACCTTTAATGACAGACCAATTGCCATTAATCCGGCTGTCTTAATGTCATTCTCACGAAGATCTAATCTCACTAAGGTTAGGCTATCAGCTACATATTCAGCTAAAGCAACTGCACCTAGAAGTACATTTGGACACACATCAGGCCCATAGCCAGGGGGGTTCAGGGGGTTCACTTTCTGATTTTGGCCATTTTTTGGGCAAGTTGTCAAAAGTGAACCCCCAATGGAAATTTTTGAAAAGTGAACCCCCTTTGGCAAAAGCTGGCTATGGGTCTACATGTTATAGACACATAAGGGATTTTCCTCCAAATTCATGCACTTTACTTATTGGTGATTCATATTTTCAGATTGGGAGTATGTAGTCATTTTAAACCATCCTCTAATTTATTGCACTGCACTTTTGTTTACAATTGGTTACAAGGCATTAACACGCAAAACGTCACCACCTGGCAATTGTTACAGACACCAAATTCTGAACGCTGACCGTGAGATGCCAAACCCTGAACAATGTCAACAAAAAAGTTGGATACTATAACTACCTTCACAAGTATGATAATAATTACCTTGCAAGAATTACCCTCACAAGAATAATAATAATTACCCTCACAAGAATAATTACCTTCACAAGACAGCTTAGCAGCCTGCAGGCCAATCCTGAGTAGAGACTTGTTTTTGAGCAGACCATCTTTCAGTGTATGAATCCCCTCATTGGTAACATTATTATGGCCTAGGTTTAATGTTTCTAGGCCTTTAGTAGAACTAAGGGCCCTGCCTAAGGAGGGCATGGCCTGGTAGGTAATTTGGTTATTCCATAGGACTAGCGTTTTCAGGCCTTGGCCTAGACTCTGTTCATAAAGACCATCACATAAATGGCTAACTCCTACATCCTAAAAATACAATACACAGGGTAAACTATATTTTATCTAGAAATCAAAAAAATGGCGGACTTAATGCCCAAAAACTAAATCGAAATTAGACAGTTTCTCATTCCAAAACATCCCTGAAAATTGCAAATAAAGCAAGTTATCTTTTCAATGGTTGGTTATAATTAGGGATGATTCATGTCTGAGCAATATATACCTAAGGTGATTATTGTGTGATTAATACATACCCGTAGGTGATTATTGAGTGATTATTACATACCTGTAGGTGATTATTGCATGATTATTACATACATGTAGGTGATTATTGCATGATTATTACATACCTGTAGGTGATTATTGCATGATTATTACATACCTGTAGGTGATTATTGCGAACATCCAATAGCTCGAGTTTGTGGTTAAACTTCAACATATTGCCAAGTTGAATACCATCAGATGGCATCATCCTATTGTCAGCCAGAAATAGTTCCTGAAATACAAATGTAGACATTGTTATTGAGTATTTCAGCATTCAAATCACATTACTTCTGAATCACCCCTCGTATGTAAACACAATTCAGAGGGAGTTTTCAGGTGGCATCAAAATCGTCATTTTTTGAAATTCTGACCAAAGATTGTAAAAATATGCCAATTTTCATGATTTTCTCATTTTTTAAGAGGGGGCAAATGGGTGTTTAAATCGTAGTGTGGTGCAGTGCCTGTTTCAATGTTGGGTAGATCACTACAGTTCTTACACAAGGCATTTACATGCAATATGTCAAAACCTGCCATTTGTTACATACACCAAACACCAACAGCCAAATGCCAACACTGTATTCAAGAAATTCTGATATTAAGTTGGAATGTTTTGTACTCATTACCATATGAATCTTTTAACAATTCACAAATTAGACTTGAAATTGTTTCATAATACTGTAAATAGGTTTTTGTAGAATATTGAAGGCTTTACTGTAATGCCTGGGTCACATTTGCTGCGATTCATCGTCTGGCACCCCGCTGATTGAGTATTTTGTTTAAAATTGAATATTTCTAAACAAAATACTCAATCGGCCGGGTGCCGTCGTGAAAATAGGAGCAAATGTGACCAAGGCATTAGGGAACCCTTATGACCCTTTTTTTCCATCTTGTTGACATAAAAAATATTTCAAAACTATAGGCACCTTGAGACATTCATTAAGTTTGATGGCTGCTACAAGGATTAGAAGGGGTCTCCCTGATAAGTTCGCATTCTCAAGATGGAGGATCGTCAAAGCGGACCCCATACGAATAGCACGACCTAACATTGGCATAGTCTGTTCAGTGAAAACGCAGTTCCGGGCATCAAGGAACTCAATGCATGGTGTCTGAAAGAAGAAAAGTCAATACTGGTTAGGATGTTTTCTGAGAAATGACACATTATGGCAGAAAGTGTTTGGTTTAAATATTGGAAAAGACAAGTCATGAAGACAATCTTATTTAGTTGAATTTTCAAATGGCATAAAAAATCTGTGGTTCTAAAGGTGGTATGAACTTGTCAAAAACTCAGTCAAAGTGACCAAGTGCCTAGTTTATAAGGCCTCAATATTTACATGAAAAAGCTTTGTATCAAGGTCTGCTGATGGGGTAAATTGCGATGCGTTCAAATCATCTCAGCTCAAAATCACACTCAAGTATCACATTTCCCAAATTGTTGCTAGCAAGTTTCAAAGGTACATGACAACAGAAAAACACATAATCAGTGATTTCATTAACGGCGTCCTTCAAATCAAGATTGGGTGGATGTAAATTAAAAAAATAATTACGTTTTTGGGACGCAATTTGAATTTCGTAAATCACTTCGTGAATCCACTAAATAATTGAAGGAAATTCTATTTCTAAAAGAAATAAAATTTTCTTTCGAAGTTTCCTTCCGGCAGTTGATTTCTGATCGAAATAGTACGAGGCATGTGATAGGACAAATAGTTGTCCAATACTCGATAACCGCGCAGTAATCAGTACTAGTCTTACGATTGGCCGCTAGCTGAAGACCCAATTTAAACCATTTTCTATTGGTCAAGTGCGATAACAAGATCATTATTTAAGAATGCGCATGTGCATGCGCAAGAAACTGAACCAAAAAATTGAACCTCGCGCAGATTGCCCCTAAACTAAAGCAAAATCAGTAGCTAATTGCTTCGAAATATGCAAAGAAAATGTTTTCTAATGGTTGAATATAAGTTGATGGTGATGGTATCTGTATCATTCAATGACATACTAGACTCGCCAGAACACTGATTTAGACCGATAAATAGCAAAAGCGATACAAAACTTCATCAATTTTATTTTAGTTAGTGTAAAAACGTGACTTTGAATTCCCGGGAACATTTTTTCAAGGAACGCAGTTTTTTGAGGGAGACATATTTTTTGAAAATCGCTACGTCCCAGGGACGCAATCTTGGACAAACCTACTGAAAACACTGCATAATGCATGTGAAGAATATTAATACAAGAAAGAATGCCATGAAAACATTACCTTTTTGAGGAGTTTGGAACATGCAAGCCATCCTCTTGGGCCGATGTTCTTGTTAAACGACATATTAAGTCGAGTTGCAGACTCGTAATACTCCAGCATATCAAATAATGCAATTGCACTCTGAAAGTAAAGAAAATATTACGTCAAACTATTAATTTTCAAACCAACAGGTAATTCTATCACCCAAATTATACTCTTATTTGCGTAGAAGCTATATGTTTCATATCCTAAGCAAGCTAATATTTCCCTTTCCACAGTAATTTTAATTTCTGAAATAAGACTTGAAATATCTTGAAAAATAATATCTCGACTTGATTTTTTGAAAAGCGTAACATTAAAAACATCATGCAAACAGAACACATCAAATATAGTGGATGAAATAAATAAATAAAAAAAACCAGAAAAATTCCAATTTATTTACTGGCAACATTTAGAGACAGGTCGTGTTGACCGACCATGTTCATATTAGACAAACAGTGTTGATTTATGAAGAACAGTGTTAACCACAGACAGGAAGTATTCAATTGTGGCAAAAAGTGTTTATTGGTAATATAAAGTGTTCACTTTAAACAGATTCTTGTACATCTTTTAAACAAATTATTTGTAGATATCTGGAAATATTTTGTTGTGAAGTCTAAAATGAAGAATAAATGAGGCCTACAACTATTTTCCAGATAATTGAATAATAAACCATTTCAATTCATGCATCTGTTTGAAATTTAAATTAAGTGCAAATTTTGATTTGCTAATTTTACAGTAAAACCTGTATAACTGAAATGCCACTTGGACCAACTTAAAGTGTTCAGATTGACAGGTGTTCACATTTCAAGGTTTTTAACATGTTAGTCTATGGCAGCCTAAAGTGTTCAGATTGGCAGGTGTTCACATTTCGAGGTTTTTAACATGTTAGTCTATGGCAGCCTAAAGTGTTCAGATTGGCAGGTGTTCACATTTCGAGGTTTTTAACATGTTAGTCTATGGCAGCCTAAAGTGTTCAGATTGGCAGGTGTTCACATTTCAAGGTTTTTAACATGTAAGTCTATGGCAGCCTTAAGTGTTCAGATTGGCAGGTGTTCAAGTGTTCAGATTGGCAGATGTTCACATTTCAAGGTTTTAACATGTGAGTCTATGGCAGACTAAAAGAATGGGATGGAAAAAGTGTTCACATTAGAGGGGGTCAAGATTAGAGAGGTGTTCAGCTTCAGATACAAAGGTTTTACTGTATATCAACTAATAAACGGTGCACATTGTAACCTCTGGGTTTAAATTAAAACATAACATGATATTTTCTAATAATTTAGAATCACAGATAGATTTCACACAATGTTCAATATACTAAGTCACATTGACCTTGTAGAATCACATACTGTACTTCTACTTAATTTGGCGGCTGTTTTAATTCAATGGATTCGCAACATTTTTAAAAGTCTGCCAAATTAAGTAGCCGCCAAAGTCAATATTTCATATTTCAATCTTAAATATGTATAGAATATTCAATATTGAAATTCTGTCAAATTAAGTAGCCGCCAAATGTTCAATATTAAGTAGAAGTACAGTATAGCTGCATTCTAGCATTACCATAGAAATAAAAGATTGTCACAAAAGTTCTAAATATTTATTTTAAAGTTTTGTTAGGGGACCAGATGATATTGATATTATTTTTCATAATTTTTTCACCCTTTTATTGAAACAATTGCAAATTCACCATGAATAAAGGTTTTAGTTATAATATGTAGACACTTTTTGTATCAAAAGAAAGAATAGAGAAAAATCTGTATATTCGAACACCTCTTTAATCCAAAACCTCTCAATGTGAACACTTTTTCTTGGTCCAATTTTTTTTTTATCTCTCATATTTAGGAAACCTTGAAATGTGAACACCTACTAATACGAACACTTTTGGTTTGTCCCAATGATATTCGGATTAGACAGGTTTACTGTATATAAAATAAAATTTTTATATACCCATACCCAAATTGATTTTAAGTCACTGAAATCACAAGAATTAGTAAATTACCTCATCGTCCAAATGTGTCGCCTCAACTTCTACAATGTTGAATTGTACACGTCTGAATATTTCTTCAAGTGACTCTACTGCTCTGAGCTCTAGCCTTTCGCCTGGAATAACATGTTGTCAATTCTATTTTAAAAATATAAAATTCAAGGACAAGGCATTAACATGCAAAATGTCACCATCTTCCATTTGTTACAGACACTGACTGCCAAACAACAAACATCGATTTCAGAATGCTGTCCACAAAAATGTTAGAGATTATAACATTATGTAGTGACATCTTTTTCTTCAGAGTCAGAATTGTCGGACTTACATGGAAAGATAAGAGGAATACAAAAATCTAATTGTAGTGAATATGGATCAGAAACTGTGGTAGGGCTGTAGGGGGGGGGGGGGGGTCCACATGTTCATGGATTTGGCTGTATTTTTGTGCTCTCTATCAAGAGACCAACTTGGCAAATTATTAACTTGATCTGAAAAAGATCCAAAAATGAAACCCGGTAGCTTACCAATCAGATATATCCAGTTCCAATCCTGGAATAGGGTTATTGGTAGGAGTGTCACGGGTCAGATATCTTTCGGGTCGGGTCGGGTCTGGTCAGATATCTTTCGGGTCGGGTCGGGCCAGAAAAAAAGTGTGCGGGTTGGGTTATTTCGGGTCGGGTCAGAACAAAAATGAATGTCGAGATTCGGGTCGACTTCGGGTCGGTGTGTCACCTCTAGTTATTGGTCTTTGTAATTATGTCTGTCTCAGATTTCTGACAAATACAAAGATTTTAGTGAAAAGACTTTTAAGGAAAGAGTACTGAATTGCACTAGGCATTGTAATGAGCACCATCGTCATGATCAGGCCCATAGCCAGCTTTTGCCTACAGGAGTCACTTTTCAAAAAAATTTCCACGGGGCGTTTACTTTGCCAAATTTGGCCCAACATTATATGAAAAATGCTCAGAATGGTGAAAAATGGCATGAATTGAAAGAATGAAGTCCCCATCTGGCTGTGTGCCCGATGATAAACTTCGACTATGTCATCGTGTTCCTTATCAGCAAATCAATACTGATTTGAAACCTTGTAGATTAGCTGATGATTTCTTTGACATATGTTCCAATTCAGACAATTTACAATCCCCAGCCTTTGGAGACATGAAGATCTTACATACAGACTTGATAAATAGGTATCCCATCGAAAAATTAGACATCCAAACTGAAAATCTGGCGATCCACCTAATATCACAAAAAAGTCTAATATTCTACCTAATAATCAGTCATTCTGCCTGATAATCAAACTTTCCACCAAATAATCTGGAACTTCACTTAATAATCAGGCATTCCACCTAATAATCAAATATTCAACCTAATAATCAGAAACTTCACCTAATCAGAAACTACAACTAATAATCAGACTTTCCATCAATTAGTTCCTCATAAAAATCAGACATTCCACAAAGTAATCAGGAACTTCACCTAATAATCCGACATTCCACCTAATAATCAGACATTTCACTAAATAATAAGACATTTCACCCAATATAGCAAAAGTCAGATAAGACTCATATTTCAAATAAACGCAAAAGTGAAAAAGCTGACAATGTCTCATTCTATATTATTCTGAATATCCCAAAACGGACATCAATCACAGCCTTCATCAGTCAATTGATCTGTTTTTGGACATGACGTCAATTTCGCCAATATACATACATTACTATGTCAGGCTAAATGTGAAGACTCAATTGATTTCTCATTCTCTAACGCCAACCTAAATTGGATATTACTTCAAATTGATTCAACAAAGAATTCTTAATAGAGAGGAATTTTCAAGTTCACATACAGTGGAATATTTTTAGAAATACCCTGTATCTCAAGCTTCCGCTATACCACCCTCTGATTTTAACACATGAATTGAGATCTTTCTTGATGAAAAGATTGAGACAGTATCGACTGAAGCCTTCAAGATCAAAGCGGGGGGGGGGGGGGGAGATTTCCCAAAATATGACATTTCGTATTGGAACGTTCGATAACAAATTTTATAATAAACAGGCCTCATTTGCCATTGAAATGAATCTCTCAATGTTCGCTGTTGTTTTATGAGTATTCTCTTTAAGTTTGGATCGAGTAACTTCAATAGTATTACCGAAGTTTTGAAACAATGATGCTGAACTGATGTTAACCCCATTCCCACTAGTTCAAATTTTTCTTTGCGCATACGCGGCACTGAGAGAGCACATGCTCATGATTGTTCACGCGATCATATCCTGCAATTTGATGGGAATCATATAACGGGGAATCCCAAATTCAATACAATATGAAAGAATTATGGGAGCTACTCACTACTACTACTGTGATCAGAGTTTGAATCTAACGTCACTTTGAGACTTGAGTTAGACAATGTTGTAAATATTGCGGTTTTCTGACAACATAATGTGATTTTAAAAAGCTTAATCAAAAAGTTATCTTCAATCAAAAGTAGACAAATACAAGCTCGTACAAAAGGCCTGTTCAAGACTGCTCTTTGGTCTTCAAGGTAGTTTTTGAGTTTGGATGTCCAAGATTCTTCAAAATTCAGAAATGTTGAATTAGCTCATACCTCCTGGTATCTGGATGCTCCTCTCCCCACCCCTTGTTAGAGTGGGGGAGGGAGAGGGAGATGGGGATGGGAAGGTGTTGATCCAAACCTCTTTTAGAGTTCACACAGTGTTAAACACAATATATATCACATTGATAAAAATCTGTCACAGTGATAAAAATCTGTATCACAGAGTTAAAAATCTTTCATATACACAGATATACTGGTGATCCACTCGATTACGCTGGTTACCAAAACGGTTCGTTTTGGTAACAAAATGTCGGAACATCCGGAAGGTACGATTTTTCTCGTTTCCTTATTTTACACGTTGTAGGCAGAATTCCCACGACATTTTTTTAACACAAACAGTATCAGTACCATATGTTTAAGAAATTGTACATATTTGCGAACAAATAGTTCAGAAGACAACAGAATCGTCGATTTTCTTTCCTCACATAAGTTACATAAACGGTTTGGGTTAAAAGTGCAGATCTTAACTGTTTTTCGAAAAACCGTTTATGTAACTTAAGTGAGGAAGTAAATCGACGATTCTGTTGTCCTCTGAGCTATTTTTTCGCAAACATGTACATTTTCTAAAACATATGATACTGATGCACGTTGTGAGAAAAAACGTCGTGGGGATTCTGCCTACAACGCGTGAAATAAGGAAAAAAGAAAGATCGTGCCTTCGACGGTCCGACATTTTGTTACCAAAACGGTTCGTTTTGGTAACCAGCGTAATCGAGTGGATCACCAGTGAGATATTGTATATGAAAGTGTTAAAAATCTGTATCACATTGTTTATACCATAAATGTAGCAAATTCCAATACAGCCCAGGTGATAAATCTCTATTCTGTAACATGAAGTCGCTTGGGACCAGTAAATAAAATACCCTTTCAAATCACTCATTCCTTCCCACTCTCGCTAAATTCAACAAATATTGCTTATTTCTACATAAACAGATATCATTTACAATGTGTATCTCATATCTATCTATATATTCCTTGTTATAATACCCCTTTTCACTCATATTTCCGTAAAATATAACGACCATTTCATTAAGTTTATCAACAGGAATGCATAGTGGAGAACGATAGAATAATCAACATATGTAATGAATTAAGAGATATACAAACACTGTTTTTGCATTACAGAATGTACAAACAGATATAATATGAACACTGTCCATTTCATTAGCCTATATTTGATAATATAAATCATAAGAAATAGATGACTGACACGGATATGAAAATATATATAAAAGATATGAACAAAATTCCTTTTTGACGAAAACTTGCCAATTCAAATTCTATCCATTCAGATTAAAAAATAAACCAATTTTTAATGAATTTCAACGTATTAACAAGGTACATATCTTCAAATGGGTGTAAAGTGGCTTTCTCTTTCTCAAATGGGTGTGGCACCCAGTTTCTTCGATGTTACGGAGGCAGTTCACTGTTTTCTTTACAGAAATAAATGAAACGATTACATACTAACGAAGCAGGCTAGAATTTCGATCACTTAGATAATTGCAGATCAGTATATTGACAACTTATCCCGACACATAAGATTTTCTATGGATTTTTCTAAATGGAAGATTTCAATTTCACCACTGAATGATCATAATAACTATCAAATAAATGTTATGCTTTGCAAAAGAATATGAAATCAGAATTATAGATTGCCACATTCGCAGCGACAACACCCCCCCCCCACCCCCTGCGTTCCACACAAATTAATCTCTTACCTTTGAGACTCAGGGAATTGTATCTTCTGCCGAATTCATCGATTTGCTGGAAATACATAAAAACATATTTTTGCAATGAATGAAACACATATAATTCTTTGAATAGTTAAAATCTATAATATGGGAAACATTGCCATACAAAATAAATAAATAAATAAATTTTCTTGGATATAACTGGAGACAGATATGTTTTTCTCTCCTATTACTGCTTAATTCATTTTTGCAAGCCAAGACTGTTTCGGATTACAGGAAATGCTCATAAACTGTAATTTTAATCATAAAGACAGAAGCGAGCGCCAGGAAAGACAATATATTAATTACCACAGGAAAATTTGTATCTTGAGACATGATATTTTGTCTTCCCAATTCCAAACCTTAATGATTAGATCCAAAAATGATCTGACATAGTGCTCAGAACTCAAAAATGAACAAGACAAAAAGTGATAATTGTCACACTTTTGAAAATTCAAAATTCAAACCAATCAGTTTTCCAGCAACACAAGACAATGACAATATAGCGCTTTGAAAGGTGTGATTAAAATGTAAAACAAAATAAACAAAAAATCAACAAAATCCTACAAAATGGTAGATGAAGTATACCAAAAATGTTCAAAATAACCCTTATCAAACTACAGTATATCCATTAATGTAATTAAATAACTGCAAACAAACACCAATATTACTATATAAAGCGATATCTTGACAAGACAGAGATTTTAATAATCACAAGATGAATATGAATCTACACTTAGAGGCACTTTGATGTATGATATTATAAATTAACCATCAAACAATTTGACATTATAATCAGTAATGCCCAAATCAATAATACCATCTCTAGATTATTACAAATGTGCGGCTGTTTATTTGTGATGGGAAAACGTCCCAAATATAAAATGTCAGTTATTATTTTATTTACCATTAATTTGTGGAATGAGACAGATTTGAAGTAAAGAGACATGCTTACAACCAGGGATTTTATCTTCAGCTGATTTTACCAAATTGGCCGTTATTGTCAGAAAAAATCCTGACAAGCCAGAATAATCATACGCAATGTGAAATGTCTGAATTAAAATCTCTTTTTAATGAAAAATTTTTGGGATAAGGCCAACAAGTGAGTCATTTAATGCACGAGTTACTTCTTACACAAAATCAATTCTCGACTCGAGAATCTCGAGTCTTGAACTATTTTTCGTCATAATTTCCCCAAAAAATAGGTTATTGTTAGTGTCTATTATTAACAGGAAAATTTCTCAACTTGGTTCAAAACTATAAAATTATGCCAATATTAATATAAAAACTGTGGAGATATATTTACAGTAAAACCTGTGTACAGTGAACACCTATGAAACCAAAATATGTGATCACTTGGGTCTTCATTACAGAGGGTAGTTTATACAGAAGTCAGCAGAGTGCCGAAGAATTATCCCGTTCCCGGACTATGGTCCTGTGAACATCTCAATCTTTTGCCTGTGCGATTACAACATGGGAGAATTTTTTACTGATCTTACACTTCAGATACCTACTTCAATAGATTCCTTGGTAATTTAGCATTCTTTTCGTGTAGTTGAATCCACAATTGTCTGGGTTTATCGGCAGAACGAAGACATTTTCGTTTTTGATCGCAATATTTGCGTGTTACATTTAACTTATTTCAACCGTCAAATTCCTCCATATTGGTACTTCCGGGCTACATCCGGGACAGCCAAACTGGGGATTCCCCTTTTAAATCCAACCGCCATTTTGAAAAGTGATGGAATCTCTCTCGATGAAAAAGAGAAAATGTTCCCGTTCTGCCGATATACCCAGACAATCGGCGGTTCCAATATATTAGAAGTTACATCTTGAGTTCTATAATGCATTGAGGTAGGTATCTTAAGTGTAAGGGGCGTAGATAATTCTCCCAAGTTGTAATCGTACAGGCAAATGAATGCGATCAGTGCAGGACTATAGTCCGGGAACGGGATAACCGAAGAAGGGTGTCCACCAGGGACAGGTGTTCACTAGAGAGAGGTATTCACTAAGACGGGTTTTGCTATACTGTATTTACCAAATAAGAGACTGAATGCTAATTGCTAATGTGTGCATTATTTCATGGTTATGAATATGTGAGTATCTTTTGCAATGGTCTGACCTCTTGATATCTACCCTTTGCATTCATTTGACTTCACTTCTTTAAAGAGAGCTTTGTCTTCACTCTTTCAATTTATAATAAATCTCTGATCTCAACGAGCCAATCAGAGTTTGTCGCCGAAATATGGACAACTTTCTATATGGTCCTGCCACTATTCTATTTGAATTTAAATGAGTTGGTCATAAAATAGTTAATCCAGTAGCTGACAGCGGAAGGTTGCATTCAAGTTCAGAAAAGTCAAAAAGATAGTTAATATTTATCTATCATATGAGAACATTGTCAGAGGCAATTTGGTGAAAAGTTCATGTAACATACTAGTATATGCTTACAATAACTCTTTCTCTTAAGGGGCTAGTTATATCAGGCAATATCAGACATGAAATCATGAGGGATCAAAGGGGTTATATCAAAAGTTTCATGTCAAGTTCTAAATGTGATTTTTTCAATAACAGCAGCTAGTTCAAAGAGTTTTGCCAAAATAGTTTTCATATTCTTTTAGTTAAGGTCACAGACCTTGACTATCCAATTCACATATTAAAACCGAAGAAATTGTGAGTAAGATTTAATGTGGAACATATGAGAATGAGACTGCACCGGGGGGGGGGGAGATTTCCCAAAGATGACCTTTCATATTGGCACGTTCGAAAACAAATTTTATAAACAGGCCTCATTTGCCATCAAACTGAATCGCCTAATGTTCGCTGTAGTTTTATGAGTATTCTCTTCAACTTTCGATCGAGTAACTTCAATAGTATTATCGTAGGATTAAAATGATGATATTGAACTGATGTTAACGCCATTTCCACGATATGATCACGTGATCGCATCGGGATCTGACTGAACGCAAAATGGCTCTATTTTTCAAAAACAACTGGTTATGGATAAAGTAAAGCTTTCCCCAAGAGTTGTAAATATCTCAATCCTAACCACCAAGATGTTAAGTTATGATGACGGGAATTCATTTATCTCTTTTCCAATAAATCATCTTAGCAACAGAGGCCGATTAAATCATCGTCCATATTGAGAGATATCATTATGTTATTGGTATTGAGTGCCATAAAGTCATTACACAGAGTCACTGATTGAAATAAGATTATGAGAGAATGGAACATCTCAAAAGTTCGATGAATTTTAGATTATTAACCCTGTAACGACACCATTGATTTATACATTCCTAATAAATCCTTGATACCTATATTTGCACAATGTTCATATGCATTGTTCAATCTACAATTAATTTTTGATTATGCCAAAAATCCTTGATAGAACGGCACCAGTTACTCAGAAAGATCTTTATTCAGCATGGGATTCACAAATATGGACAAAAATGAGGTTACTTTTGACTCAACTTGTGGAAATCAGTGTGACATAATGGAAAATGAAATTGAATAGAATAAGCACCAATAAAGAGCATAGGGAATAATGAATCAATGAATAAAAAATATAAGTAGAATTTAAGAGGTAAAGAAAGAAAATATTTTATGTGTTTTTAATAGATTGGTTAACTGAATCATTACACCTCAGGTGAAGAACTGATATCCTCATCACTATCAGGGTTCTCACTAGGCTTTTAGACCCCGGAGATCTGGAGTCTAATGTCTTTTTTCCGGAGTATAATAGCTTTTCCAGAGTCTAAGGTGTTTTATCTGGAGTCTAATTTCACATTTTTGTCACATTTTTTATGGTAAAACTCTTGAGAAAATACATAAAACTGGATACAAACAAGGAATATGAAATCAGAAACCTTTTTGAAATATATATTGTGATTAAAATAATCAAAATAGGAAGATAATCTTTGTTATAGTATTCTGAAAAGAATACTAATAGGATATCTCTGATCTTACATGGGGAGCAGAAGTCGCAATAGCGCAAAAAATCCAGGGTCTAAAAATTTCCTGGTGAGAACCCTGGATATCCTCATCACTAACTGCTATATTCATTAGGAATCGCAGTTACAAACAGAAATTCTGGTAAAACACAATATGAAAAAATCCTAGTAATCCAGGGTGACTGTTTGATCCACAACAATATATTAATACTCGTCAACGTTCAAACGATATGGACCTTTTCAAAAAATTCTCATAATATCATGACCTCCTTACCTGCAACTGTGTCACAAGTTTGGGGAATGGTTTGACGCAGTGAGCCTCACAAGACCTCTTGTATGAACTGACCAGTTCATCCTTCGAACAAGTGGCAGCTGGAAAACAAGTCAAACATAATCAAAGTTTGGATAAAGGGTACTGTTCTTAAATGTTATTCTCAAGGTCACAAAAGTTACATTATATTTTACAGTAGACTTGAAATGATTGGTATACTTTCTTTTGAGCCTTCTTGCCTGGTTTTTATCAATTACAGGCTGATGACATCATTCTATGATTGAATATATGACTTTCACAATATCTTCGTTATTTTTTGTCTCATTTTTCCATCTAAAACCCCAGAGAAATCACAAAGATTCTTGACAGACTGACACACAAACTTTTCCCATCGTAGAATTCTAGTTTTGCTAACGGGAATCATCAATTCGACTAACAGAGAACTGGGAGGAGAGTCTGATTGCCGAATACAGGTGGAACTTGGGTTTGTCAAGTAGGGTGGTGACAATAGGCGCGGAAAGCCCTGACATGACGTATTTTTCCCATTTGGGCCATTTTTAACACACCATAACTTCCTCAATATTGTGTTGTTTGGAATAAAAGTAATATCAATGAAACAAGCATTATTTTGTCTCTCGGAATATTTATTTTTGTAATTTTCTAAAAAGAATTGACCGAGAAATAACATATTGAAAGTGAGCAGTCAACTAAACTTGATAAATTTGTGACGTACTTGTCCTGAAAAATAACAACATCCGCGAAAAACGTTAATTTTGCAACCCTTTTTGATGCTAATTCCGCACGCTTAATCCTGATCAACAATTTTTGAACCAATACTTTTCTGAATCGGAATATACTCTTCTTTACGATGGTCTTTCCGTTTTTTTCTGGTTCTTGATCGAAAATATGATTTTCTAAGAAAACATTCAAAGGAAAAGTTTGCACACCTCGGAACATGACTTATGTTTTGTCTATGTCTATGTCTATGTCAATAATCTGCAAAAGGCTAATAAGCCCATATAAAGCAGATATATAATTTAACAGTGATAGAATTTGAATAGAATATAATTTAAAACCTTAATATTTAAAAATAGATCTATGGTTTACATCTCATTTTACCTGGGGAGACTGTCAGGCTACCGCGTTGACATCACCCCTCTTTACCAGTAGTGCAGGCTTGTTGCTGTGCACTGGGGACCCTTTACATTAAAACATAGATCTATATTAAAAACACACCTATTTAATTGCAGTTATTGACATAGGCATAGTATGATGATTTAAAACTACTTAGACTGTCACAGTCTAAGATGTCACCAGGTAGAGTGTTCCATTTAGCTATTGTCCTAGGGAAATAGCTAAATTTGTATGCATCCGTTCTAGTTGATGGTTGTATGAACTTAGAAGGATGATACAACCTAGTGTTGGTATTGATCTGTTGGCGGAAGTATGGAGGCACGTCGATGGCTGCTAGGTTCTGCTTTCCTTTGTAGAAAAGGAAAACTCTAGCAGCCTCTCGACGCTCCTTCAGTGGCTCCCACTGTAGGTCTTGAAGAGCTTTGGTGACGCAGCCTGGTTCCCTTGAGTGACATTTGGTTACAAACCTGGCTGCTCTTCTCTGTACCTGTTCCAACATATCAATATCTTTTTGTCGGTATGGATCCCATGCCGAGCTGGCATACTCTAAATTAGGCCGGACTAGTGACTTATACGCCTGAGCCTTCACTTTTTCAGGGCATTGATGGAGGTTGCGCCTGAGAAATCCAAGCACCTTATTGGCTTTGGATACAATAGTTTGAATATGTGTAGTCCAGCGTAAGTTATTTGTGATGTCAATTCCTAGGTATGGGATGTGTGTTACCGACTTAAGGTTTTCCCCTAGCATGGTGTAATTGTGCATGATAGGGGATTTACCTTTGTGAATATTTAGCACATAGCATTTTGATGGATGGAATTTCATTTGCCATGTTGAAGCCCAGGAGACCAGTTTATCAAGATTCTCCTGTAGTGTTAATGCATCTTGCTTGCTTTCGACTGTCATGAATAAAAGGCTGTCGTCGGCAAAAAGCTTAAGGCTGGCTGAGGATGATAGGTTATTGCCCATATCATTGATATAAACAAGGAAACAGAGTGGTCCAAGAACTGTTCCTTGAGGAACTCCTGATTTTACTGGAGTTTTTGAACTTGATTCACCATCGAGCACTACCTGTTGTGATCTTCCCACAAGCCAGGATCTGAACCAGTTCAAGTTATTATTGCGAATTCCATAATAGTCGAGTTTGAGCAAGAGGCGTTCGTGAGCCACCGTGTCAAACGCTTTGGAAAAGTCTAATACCAACATGTCTGTTTGTTTATTGTTGTCGAGGGCCCGAGCTATATTCTCTATTGTATTGACAAGTTGTGTTTCACATGAGTGCTTTGACCTGAATCCATGTTGGAATTTTACTAGAATTTCATAGAGGTCAAAGTGGGCCATAACATGATGGAATATAATATGTTCCATTATTTTACATGGAACTGACGTCAGAGATACAGGCCTGTAATTTACAGCCTCATCTCTTCGTCCCTTTTTGTAGATAGCAGTAACATTGGCATGTTTCCAGTCCATAGGCACTAAGCCTTCATCGATAGACTGTTGAAAAATTATTTGAAGGAATGGTGATATGCTGTCACTGCATTCCTTCAGGACCCTAGTCGGAATAAGATCGGGTCCAGTGGCTTTTGATGGATTTAGGCCAGTTAGCAATTTGTGAATTCCTTTTGTCGAAATTTTGATAATTGGCATTTCAGGAATTTGACTAGGTACCATTGTCGGAAGAGTGGCATCCTCATCTGTGAATACAGAATTGTATTGGTCATTGAGGATGTTTGCTTTCTGGGCGGCGTCTGTTATTTCGTCGCCATCTTTATTACGCAGCACGCTGATACCTGATGCATCTTTGCGTTTAGACTTTATGTAGCTCCAGAAGCGTTTGGTAATGCCTTTGTGCTGAACATTCTCATTTATGATTTCGCTTTCATCAATGTCAAGCAGATCGTTGATGTAGCGCTGATGTTCTTTACGAATTTCACTATGGATTAATTTCCGTAGTGATTTGTATTTATGCCAATGATGAGGTTCATTTGAACGTTTGGCAACATTATATCGTCTTTGTTTCTGTCGGATCATTCTCAGTATCCTGGTGGTAATCCAGGGTACTTTGAATTTCCCACTTAGAGTTTTACTTGGAATATGCTCATTGATTGACGATATTAATGTAGATTTGAAGGAGGACCAGTTGTCTTCAACTGATTTACTTTCAGAGTTCTCTTTGAATTCGCTGAACTTAGATCGTAGAGTCTCTTTAAGTCCAGTCCATTCTGCCCGCTTGTATATGTGGACCTTACGAGGCTTCTTTTTCTGAATTTTCATTTTTAGGTTTATATCACATAGGACTGCCTCGTGATCACTCATGCCCGGAACCACCGAGATTCTTTCTGCGAGGTTTGGGCATGTAGTGAATACTAAGTCAAGGATGTTATTTTGTCTAGTTGGTTCCTTGACTAGTTGGGTTAGGCCATGATCATCAGTTATTGTAATCATCTTCTCGTTAAGATCATTAGAATATTGAGAATTAGGCCTTATAGTTCCATTCTCCCAATCGATGTCTGGTAAGTTGAAGTCACCACATAGGAAGATGTTTTTCATATGTGTATTACCATTAGCATAAAGTTTATCGAGGGATGTTTGGAGCGAGTCCAAAGCACCAGTATCGTTGTTTGGTTGACGATAGAAGGATCCAAACAGTATGTCCCCATTTGATAGAGATGCTTTGGACCATATGATTTCGCAATCAGCTGTCGCTTCATATTCGACTGATATGAAGTCACTTTTGACTGCGATAAGGACACCGCCAGCACCTTTCTTTCGGTCTTTCCTGTATGGAGGTGGGCTAAGGTAGTCTTGACCGAATATCCATTTGCTGTCGATGGTGTTGTCCAGGTGAGTCTCACAGCCTATGATGACATCTGGCTTGTGAGTTTCAATTAGTTGTTGAAGGTGTAGTTGCTTCTCATGACTAATTAGACTGCGGAAGTTGATAGACATGAGGCGAACCTGGTTTCGCCTCTTTCGTGCAGTCGGCCTCGGTGGTTCTGATTCGGTAGAATCAGATGATGATGACGAATTGTCAAGATCAGAGAGAGCGCTGAAGGAGTTTGTTACCGAGGAATGAGAAAGAGTGGAGTCATTGAAGAAGCTGTTGGAAAAATTAGGTAGGGCACATCCAGGACAGATCCAGGTGAAACTGCCCGCGTCAAGAAAAACATTGTACTCAGCAGGGGAAACATTGCCACATTTGATGTGTACCCATGTGCCGCATTCATCGCATTCAAGGGCGCGATGATTCTTGGCAACTGCTTTGTGGCACATACCGCAGGGAAATTTAACAGGACCTGGGTTTGGGTGGATGTCACCACTAAGAATAAGACATAGGAAGAGCAGTGGTGTGGAAGATTTCTTGTGAAGGATTCCACGAGAGCCAACAATCTTATGGAAACGTCGCAGTTGCATCAACTGTGTGTATGACTCTGTTGAAGGTAAGTGGTTTCCATGATCACAGAAAAATGACTGGACTGCGAAAACAAAGCAGAGAAGGAGCAATCCATATCCTTGGAAACCCATGACGAAGAGGTAGGTAAAACCCGTTAGCTGAAAATAAGAAAATTCGCGCAAAAATATGAAAAATACCGCGAAAACCGAAGTTTGAAAAATACGAAAATTAAAACTGATTTATCCCCAAAAGGGGGTCCTGCTATAATTTAAATGTCGTTGATTATTAGAAGTAAGTATGTAAGTTATTAAAATCTGGAGGTTTTATCGAGAATAAATTAGAATTGCGCAGGTAATCGATGTAATTATGATTTAATTTTCGTAAGAGAGAAGAAAACATCCGCCATTAATGACGCATGCGCACTTCAAAGTCCTTTTAAAAAACGGAAAGACTCTGATGTAGCCAATAATGTCTTCTAATCAAATATTGCAGTGGTTTATTGAGTCCTACCTATTTGGTGGTGCGGAATGGAACCTAAACACAGCACACATTTTTATGTTCAAGCCATTTTT